GACTACTCCTCCATAATGCACTATGATAGAACAGCCTTCTCCATCAATGGCAGGGAAACCATCACCCCCATCCCCAACCCCAACGTCCAGATTGGCCAGAGGCAGGGCATGTCCTCCTGGGACATCAAGAGGATCAACCTGCTGTACGGCTGCTGAAGACACACGTTAGCTTGTCTGATTTGAAGTTTTCATTGATGGCAAACTGTTTTCCGATTATCACTTAAAAGTTACTGACGCTTATTTAGTTTTCAGTTTCTGTGAAGTGAAAGTTAATGACCTCAGTCATGTTAATTATGCGTGAAATAAGTTTGTCAAATATAAAAAATAAAGTGCATTATATTGGTTTGCTGAATATGGTTGGCTTGATTTCGTGAGTGGCATTTACATCGAGGTCCGTAGTTTATTTTGTAGTTTTGCTCTGCACACCGACACAGTCAGGTTTTACAAAGTAATGGCTTAACTGTTTAACAGCTGCATCCAATTTTATACACATTCCCCCATTTTCAGAGAGTCAAAATCACATAGACCAGCTAGAATTTGGATCATAAGGACTGTATTTAATACTTGACGAACATTTGCACTCACTGACAGACTAAATCTAGAAACCAGAGTCCGTGGACATCACCTAATTGTGCGTTTCTATCCTTAAGATATCCTGGTAGACCATCACAGCAATCACCTTCTATTGCTGCTTGCTTGCCGTTCTCTCGGCATTCACTTTTGTATTTAATAACTGGAAAACCTGCTTCCAAAATATGACTTTTAGTGTGCATCATATTTGCTGCGTTTGACATCTTTGTGCAAGAAACTGCTTCATATATTGTGCAATTATGTCTAAGATCACTTTAAAGAAATCTTCCTTATTTTACAGAGGCTCCTGTTCTTGCACCAATGAAGTTTAGGCCATTTCTTTGCCGTGAGGAATTCTTGGGTTGCTTTTTATTTGACAACCTCTTTAGCTTTTTTTCTTCAAAGCACCGTTCAATCAGTTTTGCAGCACATGGCTGAGTCAGAGCAGAGAGTATAGGCCTGTATACTCCTCAATTCATCCTGCTCCTTCTATTAGCAAATACATAATCAATAAACATTAAATAGCTGGTTCTTGGCAGCCATGGCATCGCTCCATCACGTCTGATAGATGATGCAGCAGTTTCTCCTCCTCCGTGGTTCTTTCCTCCCATCATTCTGGTAACGCTTCATCCCAGTTTTATCGCCCATTTGTTTTCTTTTACCTGTTTCTGGTCAAGTCTAACGACCTTCTTGTTCTCGAGTGTAACTAGTGGTTTGCACCTTGTTGTAAATTTGCCGTATGTTCATTCACGAAGACGTCTCTTGATTGCAGACTTTGCCCGCCTCCTCGGGGGCGTTGCTGACTCGATGCTGTGAGTTTTTCTCAACCATGGAAATAATTCTGTCATTTTGTGCTCTGGCTCTGAAAGCTTATTTAGCCCACTGATAACTTCCATCACTTGTGCTGACATCTTTTCAGACCTCATCAATAAAAATTATATGAAAGCTATAAAATACTAAAACAACACTTTAAATCAGCTTGAGATATTATGCATGTTTCATTTGAAACAACGAGGGAGC